GCTATAGTTTTAAATCGGACGTTAAGTCTGTCAACCTCGTTTTTGATATGCGTGTTTTATATTTCATAATACCTATCTTCTGTGTGCGAATCATGAATGTAAAGTGAGATATTTTTGTAGGTTGCCATCTTAGATATTATTATCATGAATTCTTTATAAACTCCCCCATTCAATCACAAACTAATATAGATGTAATACTATATATTATAAATACTATTCATTCCAATTAATTAGCGTTTGTTCCAAGTCTGGGGACCATGCGCAGTGATATAGAAAAACACGAACTTTTGCCGATATGCTGTTTATTTAGGCATGATCATGTACCTTATGCCATTCTGAAACTAATTATTTTGTGGAGTGAGAAATTTCACATATGTCCATCATAATAATATTAGGTATAAGATATAAAAATGTATAATTAGAATAGACAATTAAATAACTATATCTTCTGTAAACCCAATGGCCCATGTAGCCGAGGGTCTTTTTTTCTTACAATAAAAAAAATAGGTGTATTATAAAGTCGATAGAACAGTATTGTTAGAAAATAAATACACGTATAATATACTTAAAATCACCTCCCCGCCATAAACAAGGGCAACTTTATGTTACTGTGTGAGTATAAAAAAAATAATATAAAGATATTCTTTTATTTATTAATTTTAATAGGTATTTAAAATGTTGCAATTAGACTTAGGTTTAAACATTTATCATTTTAAGTTAAAATACATAGTAAATATTGTGAATGTATTAAAATAATACATTCGTGAAACATTATGATCTGCTTAAATGTAAATAGTTCTATTTAAATGCATAATTAATTTGTATGATACAGATTTTTAAAATGTACTGTCATATATTTCAAATTAAAGTGTAATATATTAAATAAAATAAATTTAAATATTAATTTTTAGATGATAACATTGCGCAAGGTATGCAAATCATAAGCCGATTATACAAGATAGTTTTCTAAATCAGTTTTCAAGCCTATACTTGAAAATGTAGATAGTATAAGAGAAAGTGGTTTATAATATGTATAATTTTGAGTTCTCTTTCAAATAAAACTAATTGACACGAATTTAAAATTAGTTATATTTTTTATTTCGCTCTTAATGTGTTTCTATATATTATAAATTCAAGTAGTCAATTATAACTATTAGTCAATAGTTAACGAAATTGTATAATTATTTTTAATTTTGTACATGTACCTAAGAGGTCGCCTCGAACTATGCGCATATTGTAAACAAACTTTTCGGGATTGACCATTGACTGAAAATAAAATTTGCCGAACACGTTAAATGGATCACTTTGTGTGATGTGCGTTGCTGCATTACCTATAGTGTATTATAGACGTTGCATGTCTGAATAGTTTACCATTAAGGCGATGCACGTCTAGCATTTTAGCCAGTCTATAGATGAAGAAACACGAAATACACGAGCTTAGAACTAAAACGAATAGCCACCAAACTCGTTTCGATGGTTGTTGAACAACCGTTGTTCTATGCCAATGATTAAAAAATTGGACACGTATTCACGCGCGTAGTAGAGGTTATATAGGTTCGATAGCTGGTCATCGCCGCCCGTTAGCTGTAGTTTTTACAGTATGTGCACGTGTGGTGTAATATGTGAAAACTGGTTTTATTTCTTTTTATTATTATATTTTTCCTAGTATTTTTCTATTAAAAGCGTCTGCCATCGTAGGTCGTTGGCCATCATGTCCATTGTTGTACGTATTCTATAATATAAATAATGTACCTGTCGTATTCTATCTTGTGTGCCTAATGCTTATATAGAGTTTCAAAAAAATTCTTTTTTTATGTTCATTTCGTGCAATATTTTATGTTTGATTGTATTAGTTGAGGACTTTTTTTGGTTGTCTAGGAATTCACTGTACCTATTGTGTTTGATTTGTTTTTTTAATAACGAAATACATTATTATCATGCCTGTATAAATTGTTTGGCGATTGCAAATATATTGGAGGTTGATTGTTGTCTGGAGTGAAAAGGAATGCATCAACTTATTATGGTTTTTGCTATTTTTTTTTTGTTCATGTATTACTTCGAAATCTTAAACTTGTTCCTCGAGTTTTTTATGTTAACTTTATTTGTAGGTACCATGTTTAACTTCTATATTTACCACTATTCTACTATTGTGCTTAGCAAATTTCGACCTATACATTTATTTAGGTTGTAACAGCATTGAACTTACATAAGATATTTTTTAATCATTGTAAGAGTATATTTTAGTGTATTACATATTTTTAGTTTTTGGCTGATCTTATTTTGCTATAATAAATGTCATAGAAGTTATTATAGTATTTGTGAATTGTTTTATAATTAGATTGATGTCATGTATTAGAAGTTTTGATTTTGAGACTATTCGAATTTATTTTTGGAATTTTATGGATTCGCTGGTTAAAAATGTTCGTATAAATAGTCCTCTAATCATGTAAAAGAGTTCTTAACTTTCCAAATTGATTAATGTTAGTTAACTATAATTCTGTAGCTGAATATTTAAAAATGCACCGCGAATTGCGATATTAATAAGTCCCTATTTAAATCAAATTTGTTATAATCGAGATATTAATTAGTAGACGGACAAGAATATATAGATTATTCATACTTATGTAAAAAAGACAGTTCTTATTTTCTATAAAATAAACACGCTACAAAGTTGTAATTTTAATAAAAATCCGTTTTATGGTACGCTTGCATAAAAAAGCTAATTACTCATAAAATGTGCAATTGATAACTATCATAAATAACGATAGTGACATTGTGAATTGTGATGTCATATCGGTATTTCAATAAAATTAAATGTTTATGTTATGGGATAACTGATTATTAGTTATTAATATTTTTATTGATATCGATTATTAAATGTGTTGCAATAATACGTACGTACTCGGAACTTGGTTGACGCGTAACTTTGAAAATATAGAACGCCCTAAAAGTACAGTACAAAGTACAAACAAATAACTGATAAGTGTATATAGAATACAATATACATAGGAAAATACGCAATTAGTTAGTGTTCGAAGTAAATGTTTAACTGCCTCAACCTATAACGGTACCTATAAATAGTTGAACATTGTAGAATCAGTCTGATATCGTTTGCAGGTTAGGTACTTACATATTACATTTTACATCTTGGAAAATGCTAGTTGTAGTTAATTTAATTCAATGTTACTCGTTGCTTTTTGGATTTTTTAAAATATTTAAAACATTTTGGATTATTTCCAATTTATTGATATTTTTTTGCGGATTCAGGTGAGGCGGTGGCTTGTGAATAATATTAATAACGATCATTCTAGTTTGATGTTTGGTTTATATTTTATTTCGTTTTGTTTTTATTGTTACATTATTACATTTTATTACCGGATGGTTTATCTCGTACACTGATGTAATGATAACTTTTAGGTATAATACAATATATTATTATATTATTGTGGTCGTGGGTCGATTGATAATATATTAAAACGAAACATTTTACTGATGCTCCGTTATCGAAAAGCCATGTCGAAAACACATGATAGGAGACGGTTTGAGAATAAACACGTGTTAAATCGTTGGCTGATAAACTTGTATTACTGGTTTACTTTTCTTTTTTTTTCGTTCGCAAGAGGTCTTAACTTTAAGTCATGTATGAAAACATTTTTTGTTATTCGAAAAAAAAATGGGATCTAGTTAATTTTTTATGATGACAAAAGTCGTTCTGGCCATATATTAAATTGCGTCGTTCAAATAAAATAACATTTTTGAATGCATTTTTGACAAACGTGTAGCTGTATAAAAGTGCGTTCAACTATTATAGACTAGTGTGGTCTAACATAATAATATCCCGGTGTACTGGTGGGGATAGACAAGTTTTGGATTTCAGCAGGCAGCACATAATATTATTCTCTTGCTAAACGACAGTATGGACGGCAGACGCTAACGTCCGTCCGATTAGATAAAATACATTAAAAGAAGAATGCATTCAATAAGTGTACATTCTATGGTATTTTTAGGGTATTTTATATATCGTTACATAATATTGTGTCTTGTGTGCTATTTTAAAGTTTATAAATTCACCCAAATTTGTTTATAATAATATTTCTCATCGTAAATTAATAACATCTGATTCATCAGAAATTGTTTTTATAAAAAAATTGAATCAAACCAAAACTTTAATCAAGTAATTTTTTTAATCTCTATATATAAACATATTATGGTTATTTGAAATTATAAAAAATTTTAAATATTTTTAATTAAGTATTTTTTTTTTTTTTAATACATAATTTGCCTTATATTGTATAACAGAAATTTTGTTGTATGATTGATTTTTATTTTTACTAGTCAAACACAATATTTTTTTAAATTTTTAATGACTATGTATTTGATAGACCGCTTCATTTGATTATACACAAGTACACGACTGTAACATAATATATTCATAAATATTGTTTATAATAAAATGAACTATTGAACTATTACTAAAACAGTAAAACGACAATGAAATCTAGAACATTTGGTTTCGATGATATAGTTTAATACTACTTTGTCCATGTGACAAACGCGCTTTTTATAGAGTGAAATAGCAATTGTCGATGACAAGGATTAAATTAAATTTTTTTTTACAGTATCCACCCAGGTTAAAACAGATTTTGTTCTGTCTGTAAATCCTTCGAGTGTAACAAAATAACCAGCACCTTGACAAAAGGAATATCACAAATTATTATCATTATCACCTCAGCTAATATCTATTTAACAATTCGATTTTCACTATTTTGTTTAAATAAATACGTACGACTACTGACTATAGGGCCTAGGATGTACTAAATATCTAAGTACCTTACTTTTAAAAAATGTTATTAATCTCAATTGTATTTAGTCGTCAGCGAGTGATAAAAATAGTACCCAATTTGTTGTTTTTACTATTATGTTACCTTAACATAAGAGTTAGATAAAAAATTATTAGTTATGACAATATAATAATATTTTTGTATTTGCTCATTTTTCAGGTCCTATATTGAATCTCGTAAATTATTAAGATGGGAGTGCAAATGAGAACGAAGACCGAAGAAACGGCCGAACCTCTGATCGAAAATAACAACAAGGATAGCGTGGAAGAACCTCTGAAGCCACAACCTCCACAAAAACGTGAAATATTATGGGCCACAGCTATATATTTAACCACTTGGCACGTGCTAGCTGTTATCTGTACGATACTTTACTGGAAGAATGTCAAAATGGCTACTATCTTATGGAGTATGTGCAATATTATTATAATATTTTTTTTTATTATAATTTAGTTTTTAAGTTAATATTTACTAGAAAGTTTAATCTAAAAAAATCAGGTATCCAGGTTGTATAGGTTCTGTCTTAGTTTTTTTTTTATGCAACTTACCATTTCCTTATGTCCCTATATTTCATACTGTTGAATTTTAATTTTTAAATTTAATAATATCATTTTAAGTTTTTATAATATTATTCTTATATTATTTATTGATTAATAGGTCTCCTTGTCGGGTTCATTGGACAATTTGGTGTAACAGCAGGTGTGCACAGATTTTACACTCACAAAGCGTACAAAGCCAAGGTTCCTTTGCAAATCATTCTTCTGGCTTGCTATTCAGTTGCTGGACAGGTATTTAAATAATATATATAATATATATATTTTTTTAATTCATTCATTTTATTTTATATGTATTACAGTACAGAGTAACAGATTGGGTTCATGACCATAGATTGCACCATAAATTTAGTGACACTGATGGTGATCCCCATAATGCTAACCGAGGATTGTTCTTCTCTCATATTGGTTGGTTGATGCAACGTGGACACCCAGAAGTATTCCGTCGTAGTAAAACCATTGATATGACTGATATAAATAACGACCCCTTAGTGCAATTTCACACAAAGTACATTTAACATTTTAAAAATGTATAGGACAAATGATTAATTTTATTTTTTTTATAGATATTATTGGTTTTTTAAAATTACTCTTTGTTTCGTATTGCCTGTACTTGTACCTGTGTTCTGTTGGAATGAAAGCTGGATGGAAGCAATTGGAATTAGTGGAGTATTGCGATTTGTGATTTTCACCAACATGACATTTTCAATTAATAGCTTGGCTCACTTTTGGGGAACAAAACCATATGACACGTAATTTAATTATTTAGCTCATGGTTTTTGTACTTTTCTAATGGAGGAATATATGTTTTTAAAATTAAATTTTGTAGGCGCATAAGACCTGTGCAGAACATGGCTTTGGCTATACTGACTACTGGAGAAGGCTGGCATAACTATCACCACGCATTCCCATGGGATTACCGGGCAGAAGAATATGGTGGAAACTTTACCAACCCAACTACCATGGTTTTGGATTTGTTCGCCAAAATTGGATGGGCATACGACTGCAAGACTCCATCAGCAGATCTCGTCAAACAAGTGGCTAACAAGCATGGAGATGGAAGTTGGAGCGAAATACCAGCTGAATGCAAATAGATTATTATCAACACTAATGCATTTTTCTAAATAATTATAAGACTTCATAAACTTTTAAATGCCTTCATAGAATGTTATTTAATATCTAAAATTATGAAGACTAGAATACAGTTAAGTTGTACACCTATGAAATGATAATAACTGCAATGGCATTCAGTATTTCTATAGTTTTTGGTTTTACTTTAAATTTTGGTGTAATTTTATAGATTTTTTTTTATGAATATTATCAATGCGATTGGGTAACAACATATTAGTATAACTACACATATTTATTATTTATACACAACACACACACACACATATATATATATACATACACTTTACAGTATACACATTACACATACTAGTGTACATAATGCAATAAATTTTGGCTACATCTCTGTTGTGTCTTGCACATAAAAAAAAAATGGATCATTAACCATTATAACTACATTTTAAAATATTTCAATAAATATGTATATGGTGGTCATTGAAACAAAATAGCATATTGTGCTAATAATGCTCAAACATTAGTACCCAATCGTATTACATTGTCCAAAACTTAGATAAGTATTGAATAAAATTATTTATTATAAACATTTGGTAAATTGGTTGCAGCTGTCCAATGACGGATCAATATTCCCAATGTGCTTATGAATACGGCATCAAGTAATATTACAAGTGTGTGTATATGTATGGATGAAAGGTGTGAATGTGATATTGTAATGTCTATAGAAATAAAACAAATTGTAAGATATTTCACTTTCTTTGGTCTGGACAGAGTTTTACCATTGTATAATAATGCCTTGTTCTAGACCTATTCAATATTGACTGGTTTCATGATATTTCACTTCAGTTGAATAATGGTTATGTAAGCAAAATAGACTAAGCTAGATGATTATTATATTATAAAATATATTTTAATTCAGCCTAATATCTACAATATGCTATATATTATACATATAAGCACCGATTACCAGGACAGCTATCACATTAACACACACACATACATATGCACACAGTGTTAGCCATTAGGCCTTTTATAAGTGTAGGTTTAGGAAATTTTGTTTGTGATTTTCTTCTGTTTTATCATTATGGTAATGGATATTATTAAATATTAATGATAAAACGAAGAACTGAAATAAACAAAATTGTATTTACAATAATAATAATAATAGTAAAAAACAAACGCTTTGTTTTATAATTAACACATTATGAACAAGTGCTGATACAAATATATTTTAATAGTTTCCAATTGATCTGGTCTAACGACTTTTTCTTATAGTCTAACTATATTATAAACCAGGGGCTGGTGGATTCAATTTATCTTAAATAGGATGGGGTATATTATGATGTTCTGAATACATTAAAACAAAAAACTAAAAAAAAAATGTAAAAGTGTAAAAATTATTCTTTATGGAAATATTCTTATAGTCTAATATTCTACGATACATTTTAAACTATTATAGAGTAATACATTTAAATAGATACTGATAGACTGACCAATGTTATTATACCGTTCTCAAATTATAAGTGAAATCACAAATAAATTCTTATTTTATGAATGGTTGGAAATGTGGACCATAAAATCATCGCCATTTGGTTTTTAATATTTTTATAAGTCGTGAAAATTGCCCAAATAAGCAAATGCGTCAACCCTTTTCACATTGAAATTGTACCTAAAGTCATATTATTAAAGTTTTAATACTTTATATTAATTAATATTGGCTTGATATTTAATATTTTTTAGTATTTTAAGGTAAAGTGGAGTAAATGATTCGATTGATACTTTACTATTAAATAAAAATGTAGTTTGAGCTTCAATAGTTGTATTGTTTTATTATATAGTCAATATATTAGTTGAAATTTCTTGTTGAGATTTTGTGTACATATATGTGTACACATATTTGATTCGTAAAATGTTATGCTCTGTCCTCTGAGTTGGAGTATTTTATAATACTAGAATATTATAAGGAGCTCCAGAACTCTAAAAGACCCCAGGAAGTGCTCTTGGAGAGTAGCAACTTAGTACCCATCTTCAAAGTTCTAAACATGAATGTGTATTTTAATATACATACTCTAAAAATATAATAGTAAGCACTGAAAAGTTTTTTAAGTTTCGTTTGTTTTTGTTTTGAAAAACTCAATCAGTTCGATTGTTGAATGGTCATCTCTTACCTGTTCAAAGTGATAAAAAATATTTGGTACGAAAGTTGACCATATTATACGTGTCTGCCGTCTGGTCCAAGTGTCGACCTCTCGCCCTACAATGAGTGAACAATATTCTTCAGTGTTATTTATAACACGTGCGAGTCGCACGGTGCGACTGTTATTTGTCGAATAGCGGTTTCAAATTTTGTAATAATTAATATTTATTTAAGTGTGCTCGTGCGTCGGAATAAAATCGAAACATTTGGTACAAAGTGAATACGATATTTTGAACATCGGTTGCAAGGTCAAAAACCGACTATTGATGATATAAGCATGTTGGAGACGAGCGAATTTCATCGGGATTCCGTAGGCTAAGATTGATCTGGTGAATATAATATAATATATAATATTACTGGTGAAGGCGCCACAGGTATCGGGGTCCTTATTATTCATCGGACGACATCTGGAAAATAATGGTTTATTGAAAACTGTACAACTTATTCTCAAGTGCTATTCGGTTTTTTTTTTTTGTATAACCTACACTGACGATAAGCATCCATTTATAAGAAAACAAGCTAATGAATTTTGTAGGTAACACTATCAATGAATGTAATGACATTTTTTTGTTACGCCAGTTCGAGTGAAGCGATACAATTTTTTTTATTCCATTTTAAGTAGTTATAGGTATCTCCTCCCTCCTGCATAATAACAATAGATAGGTATCCAATTTCCGCCTATGACGTGTATTATGTATATTACCTTACCGTTTTATTATTCCTTACGTGTGACTCGTATGTAGGTACCTCTACCCCATTGAACAGAACACAAGAAGTTAGGACGTTGTTCAAACAATATACAAATGTGTTAGTGTCATTTACATACGTAATTAAAAGGATTCGACTAATTAGACGCTAGTGTAGATATATACCGGTAGGTACCTATTATAAATATTAAAATTCCAAAAAAATTAATTTATAGTGACCTAACCTACGTGGCTATGCGTACAGTCGTGCAGATTGCTTTAGTAGTTATATGTGTATTAAATAATTTTGTCTAACACGACTTTCGTATTTTATATTTTTGAATTAAAAAATATAAAAAAACCGGCAACGAGAGGGTGTGATTGGTGCAAGTGTAGTGAAAACTGCATATCTCTGACCACTCATAGTCATCATTAATTTAATTTTCTAGGTGTTTTATAATAATATAATATTTTATAACCCAACTGGCCCAAGATTATAGGGAAAAATGTTCTTTCACAATTTGAATTCTTTTTTCCGTTTGTATAATGTATATACATTATGCAGTTGGTGTGTTGTGTATGACGTAGGTACATATGAATGAGTGAATTTATAGATGTACCTATAGGTCTTATAGGTATGGGTAGCATACTAGTAGCATTGATTATTGTATATTTAATGAATGCTAGTTGGTATAACAACTGTTTAATCATTTATCACATTCAGAGAAACCAAGGTACACTTAATATGGATGTGGCCTACGAGTTAATATTAAAAACATTTTTTCTAGTATCTGTATGTATGTTAATATATAGGGTATAACATAAATATCTAAAAAAAAACTAATGCTATAGTTCAATGTATAACGAAAATTGTATGGTTAATATAATCATGCCAGGAAATTTCCAAAAATAATATTTTGAAAATAGTTTTTTCTATAAAGTAGAATAAATTACTCGAGTTAAGTAAATGTTTTTACCATCAAAATTGTTCTTATAAATAGAATTAAAAATTGGCCATTTTGAAATTTTCCAAAAAAGTTTGAATTTTCAGTTTTTTGCTTCTATAGAAAAACTATTGATTTTAACAAAAGTTGTTGCATTAAACGGTCCTATCTGTTACACTCTGTTTAGATACCTAGTAATAATAATATTATTTATCTACACAAGACACTGTTTGTACCTACTATTGACAATATTTATATACTACCTATCTATAGGCTATATTATATAGGTAGTTGTTACCTACCTATTCTATATTTTCGTTTAATGTTTTCAAATCACCTAAATCCATAAGTAGTCCAATGTTCGTGTACACTGCGGATTACAGCCACCGAGGAAATGAGGTGGATAAGTGTGATGTTATTATTGAAGCATAAACCCATTTCAATGGGCTAGAGAAGATCACATCACAATTTGCTCAATAAGTACCTTAATATACTAAATTATTAGGTAACGATTTACTTTTTTAACGAAACTAAATGAACTGCCTCCACTAGAGGGGGGCCGTCACACAAATATTACTTGGGTATATTCACCAAAAAACTTGATTGTTTTTCTGTAATGCGAATGAGAGCTTGGCAGTCTACTCCTTGCCCCTTTAACCCCCCAACTAACCAAACCCAATTCTTATTACCTCACCCACCGCTCATCACTTATGCAAGTGACCCATGTTATTGGTATCTCCAGCAGGCTCTTTCGCCATATCACTTTAAAATATTAAGTTCAAAGTTGTGCCATGCACATCGCACACGGTTTTGTGCCCGCACGGTGGAGTATGTGTACACTAGTAGTTACTATATATTATTATGGTATCTATTAGGAATTCGTAGTAGGTAGGTATGTATATAAATGACGAGAGGCGTGGCGATGGCATGACCTCTGCCAAGTGGAAGGTTTTTGCATTGGACACCGTTGAACTCTTCGTATTTCCGTAACCAATTAATAATGATGACGTCGCGTGACGGACGATCGTCGGGTGGCCTCGATCGGGACAGATGACGATTTAAAATATTATAGATACCAATACGTATAGTAATTTTAATAATAACAATAATATATGAATATGGAACAAACGAGTAAAACAACCAAGGTTCGACGTGGAAAATACGTATAGTAAGTCACGAACAATCCCAGCAAAACCAAATACCTACATATTTGTGTTTTTGTAGGTACTATCGGTATTCGTAGATAAACTCCGATGCGTAGGTATAGGTAATTCTAGTACCCGCAATCATGTCATTTGGGTAATAATATTAAAATCGTATCGATTGCCATAACCCGTACACCGTCTCAATATTATAATATTATGCAGTCGCATCCTCCCTGGCATAAATCGACCATTATAGGTATATTTTTTGAACCCTAGATTTCGTACTTATACGTTTTAACTGTATGTTATGGGCAGGTATTGAAATAATACAAGTTTTTTTTCATCTATTATTTTTTAAATTAACAACTCTAACATTTAAATGTAAAATAGCACCTGTGTAGCTAATAGTGCTATTATATTATATACCTACATATAGGTTGGTTTTCTGCATTTGTTCATAATATTAGTATACCTACGTTATATTCTGTGTTTACTTAATCCGTATAGGTACCTAGTACCTATGTGTGACCATATAATCTGTAATAATTAATAGGTGTCTAGTGTATAATATGTAGCTTGTAGGTATCCATAATAATAGAATATATTAGCATTGATTAAACAATAAACATACATGTATGTTTAATCAATGATATTAGGTACCGAAGTTGTTAAAATAATAGGACGGTGTGTGGATAAAAGGGGTTATAGTCAATTTTGATAATTACCAGCTATTCGATTGTTATTACCTACTTATTGAAATCAATTTTATTCTTAATTGTTTTTAGTTATTACCAAATATTATAAAACGATTGTCGTATAATTTGATTTAATTTAATTGTCCTATCCTAAATTAGCCCCGACGAATGAAAAATATTTTTATGTCAAGTGTCCACAAGGAAATGAGACGTGATGGAATCTCTTTCGTTTCCTAAAAAGAAAAAGTAGTAATTTTTGTTTTGTTACCTACCCATAGTTATGCTTACAATATTTTACTCACGCATCGTCCAATATTTTTTTAAAATTATTTTTAAAATTATTATTATTATTTACTTTTATTTTTATATGGGGATTTTATAACCGTTCAACGTTCAATTAATGTATTTTTTACAAAATGTCAAAATGTATTCCTATAGGTATAAATACCTATTTTAGTTTTAAAAATGTAACCATGTAAGTCATTAGCTTATTAAATAATATAGGTACCTACACCTTTTTCCTTTAAAATAAATAATATATACTAGCTCCTGTTTAGTTGTATCTAAATTCTAGATGGTTTGCAAAAAGTCGTATCTACCTAATACCTGAGTACCTATATTATAACATTATGTAGGTACCTTGCCCATTACCATACACATACTCATACGAATAAAAATTCACAAATTGATAAATTATAATTTAAGTAAGTAGTACCTATATATTAAATTATATTTATCTACCCACATGTCAATACCAGAATATTAATTTCCGCATATTTTGATATTAAAATGTACACAATATCAATTTATTTATAGTTATAAATCATTCGTATGTTTTAGAGTTGTAACTATAGCGCATCTGCAGGTATACAGAGTGCTACACGGGGGACGAGGTGACCGAGTGGTCTGACTCTTCCACTGCGACTCAGCCGGTCGCGGTTCGATCCTCGGCCACCGGGCGGCATTTTTCTCCGGACAAGTCGCGGTGACCGGAGAGCAAGTGCTGCCATCCCCCACCCCCGGGGCATGGCAGAAACCTACGGGTGCCCCATTCGAAATTCTGCCAAAACAAACACACACGTGTTCCCCCCTACCGTACCAAAAAACATACAAACCATCAATACAAAAACCTACAGTACCTACTAAT